ACGTCATTTTCGGTGACGTAGGGACTTGAAGCCACTCAACTGCTGCTTTGACCAGACCCACACGACGTTGAAGCTGGTCGACTTTGGCTTTTCGCGGCTCTTCCGCGCCGACCCGAGCACGTCGAAACACCCGACAGCGACGCCACGGACAACCACGACCACCACCGACAAAGACCTCGACACTCGGCGGACGAACCTGCCGCTGTTCAGCAGTGCCACGTCCCGGTTTTCTCGACTGCCCGACCCGCCAAACGAGTCCAGCGACGGCAGCTCGAGTCCGGCACTCCTCATGACGTCGCGCGTCGGCACTGTGTGCTGGGCGGCGCCGGAGGTCTTGTCCGAGGAAGAGCAGACCATGTACAGCCTCAAGGTCGACGTGTACAGTTTCGGGATCATTTGCTGGCAGCTCTACACAGGCAAGCAGCCGTACAGCGACATCCCTGGCAGTGTCTTGGCCGTCGAAGAGGCGGTGCTCCAGGGGACGCGGCCTCGCATCCCGGACGACTGCCCCGTGCACTTTGCCAAGCTCATGCGGCGCGCGTGGCACGCCAACCCGGACCGACGCCCGTCCTTCGCCGACATCGTCAGGGTGCTCATGGGCGAACTCAACCAATTCCACCTGTACGGCACGGCGCGGAGCGAGCCACCAAGTCCATGCGACCTGGACTAGCTCTCGTTCCCCCCATCTATTTAATGCGCTATATGACGCAACGTTGGCCCTCCTTTGCCAATATATCTTGCCCAGGCAGCCTCGCTATTGTATAGCGTAGGCTGCCACGTAAGACACACACTCTGCCAATGTTGACGATGATGGTCGCGTGGCGAGGGATCGATTTGGCAGCATCTGATTGGTGGAATGCTCACCGGAACTTGGCTCATCCAATCAAATCACGTCACCTTGGGACCTGATGGTGTCGTGGATTTTGCAGCGTGCGCGGCGGCGTCGTCGGCGCTGGACGCATTATGAGTTCTGCCATGGCGTTCAACTTGGCAACACTCCTCCATCGAGCGCAAGCCATGTCCAGCGATGCATTGCACCGAGCGCATGCCGTGTCGAGTGATGCGTTGCATCGGTTTCAATCCAATGTTCTCCATCCCGCGGCCGCCGCATCGACCGCTAAGCGCGACCGAGCACAGTCCGCGATTGTGTCCATCTTTGTGCCAGATCATGCTGTGCCAGTGAAACCAGACACGTCGAATCTCTTGCAACATACGACAGTCGACACAACCTTCCTCATGACCCGCGGCCTCTCGGAGGAGCTCGTATTGACCATTGCAAGCTACTTGGACGCCGCGTCCCTCTGTCGCCTACAGCAAACCAGCCGTCAGTGGCGACATCACATCGTCATGCACGCCCCAACTTTGTGGCAAGGACTGGCCTGTAAAGAGCTCGGCATCGACACACCATCGAGCGGCGTCATGGGGTACCTCGCTGCGTATCAGACCGTCCTGGAGCGCGAAGTACGCCACGTCACCCACGTGCGAGCCCCGTACGAGGCTCTGGAGCACCACTGCTTGTCCGAGCCAGAGGACCACGGAATCATCGGCATGTTCTGCGACGTGTGCTACTTTGATGATGCTCGCATTGGACAAGCCATTGCCACGCAGCGATTTGGCGCGATGGCGATGGTGGTGGTGCAGCGGCCACGGCATGTGCAGCGCTTCCGCAAGGCGTCCAACTATGTCGGTCCGATCAACTTCGTCCCACTTGAAAACCCCCATTGGCCGTCGATCGAACTCCCAGTGGTCGAGAAGTGTGGGGGATTTCTCGGGTATGCCTTCGACCTGGTGCGCATGGTCCCTGGGTACGACCACCTCAAACCCACCGTCATTCGGACTATCCTGAAGAACATCATGGTGTTTGACACGGTCGCAAACGCCACCGCGTACATGAGCACAGCCTCGACCTCCGCGCCCTACGTGACGTTAGACAGTGCCGACCGTCCGTTTGACTTGAGCTTTGCCTCGCCATTGCGAGACAGCTTACGATGCCTGCCCCTCGACCAGAAGTTACGACGTCTCACGCGGCTGCGCGAAAACACACGCCATGCCATCGCTTACATCCAGTACGGCCGCTAACGCAACTACTGGAATCGATATTTATCTCTCCAATGTCAGTGTCGCCACTCGAGTTGACGCGCATTCCCACAGATATTCCACACCCGCAGGTCTTCCACTCAACACGTGTTTGGGTGTGTGTTCGTTCTAATCTTAACTTGAAATGCCTGTTTCCTATCCCCGACCTCGACCGCCACGTCCGCCTCGGCCGCCTCGGCCACCCGACGGCCTTCGGTGTTCGGCCTTGAACTTTAGATCTTGGACGCCACGCTTCTTCCGGGCCATGTTGGACGAGTCCGGGCCACGTGGCACGCGCTTGGTGTGGCTCTGCGGAATATAGCTCATTTCACGCACCATGCCGGAGGATCCGTTGTCATCGAGCTTTTTCATGACGCTGCGCTCTCGTCCCTTGACACGTTCGAGCTTGACACGTTCGGCCAGGGGAAGTTTACTCAAGTGACGTCGCTCCTTCTGTGCGGCGCGGTCGGCGGCCGACCCGAACCCGACGACGTTCTTGATGGATTCGCCCTTGGCGAGTTCAAAAAACTTGGGCGCTTTCACAACCTTTTTTGCAGGCGGGCGGCTCGATGGCGCGTCATCGTCGTCGCTCGCATCGTCCTCGGAAGAAGAAGAGGCATCGCTTGGTTTGCCTTCCTTCTCGTCCTCGACCAAATCGAATCGATCTTCATCCTCGTCATTGTCGCTATCGACGTCGTCCGTGCGCTTCTTTTTGGTAAACTGCGCGTTCGGATGCATCGCGCGGTACGTGTCGCTGTCTTCGTCAACGTAAAAGTCGGCCGACGAAAAGAGTTTGGAAAAGCGGTCGTCGCCCAGCGGGTTCGTCGCTAGGTCCGCGTCATTGGCCACAGCCTCGCCCTTGGCCGCTTTCTTGGCTTGCTGGGCCAGCAGTTGCTCCGCATACGCTTTGTTGACCTTGGGCAGGCGGCGCTGGATCGTGATACGGTTGGCCTGTTTCGCCTCCAACTTTTGCTTGATCTTTTCTTTACGATACGTATCGTACGCCAAGGGCTCGGCGACCGCATGCACCTTGCTGTACAGCCGGGCGTCCATGAAGAAACCGTGCATGTACGCTTTTAAGAGCGGCGTGCCCATGAGGTGTTCCAGACCGAGCTGCTGCAGCTCCTGCCGTGTCACAAACTTGTAGTCGTCATATACAGTCGTTGTCGCTTCTTCCTCAAGCTCCTCCGTCAAGTTGTCCAGGAACGAGCACCACTTGGGCGCAATACCGAGCTCAGGGATGTAGTACGCCATGACCCGTTCCTGCTCGCCGGCGACCATGAGGACCCCGGACATGCCATTGCTCCCTGGGACCACGCACACGTCGCGGATATCGGCGGACGTTTCGAGGTTCGTAAACAACGAACCAGTGTGCTTGTCCCAAATCTTGATGCACTTGGAGTCCGACGACAGAATTTGCTTGGACGGGCCTTCATGGAACGCCAGGTCCACGATGGGCAGCCCGTATTGATGCGTCTTGGTTAGCAGAGGCGTGGACGACCGCAGATCGTATAGCTTGACCTCGCCGGTGTGGGTGCCAACGGCAAACGTGAGCCCATCGACATCGTAGGCCAGAGCTGTGATGCCTGTCGTCGCCGCCGCGAGCGACCCCGCCCGCGTCTGACTCCGCGTATCCCACATCTCGACGACACCGTTGTCGCCACCAGCCCCGAGAAGCTGATGCAAGGGGTTCAATCGTACGACATTGACTGCGGGCATGTCGGTCTGCAGGCCAGCCAAAAACTGTCCTTGGTCCAGATTGAGGCGGTAGATCTCGGAATCCGACGCCCCCACGTACAGGTCGCAGTTGCCGCGGTGATACACCATGTCACGACCGGCTTTGGGAATGCGCACGGACGTGTGGGTCCCGTACGGGGCATGGAACGCAATGGATCGGTCCAACTGGAGTAATGCAAGTTTGCCAAAGTCCTCCGAGAGACAAATGAGCCGCACAACTTCGCTGTCCAGACGCCGTTCGAACTTCAAACTCAAGTCTCGGACGTCGTACACTTTGATCGACGGTGGGTACGTGCCGGATGCGATCACGTAATGGCCGTCAGGCGACATGGTCACTCGCTGCGACGACACGGGAAAGTGAAAGTCCTGCAACAGCTCCAGGCGACGACGGTAGTCTTCGTCACGGGATAGTGCTTTGCGCGTCTTCTGAGCAAGCCATTGCGGCAACGTCTTTCCAGCGCTCAAGTTGTAGATTTTCACGCCATTCAACGACTGCGCGGCCAGTCCCGACATGTCCGCCGCCTCGGTAATGCCAACGATTCAAGTGGAGCATACCGGAATTGGGACGAAATCATTGGTGCCGAGACTCGGAGCGTCTGATTGGTAGGTTTCAGCCAATCGAATCATTCCAATTCAAACCCTTGTCTCAAACTCGAAAGACAAAAAACACAGAACTTTACTGTTAATAAACCCTTAAGCCCTGCAATTTTTCCGACCAATTTGGCAATACATATCACGTGATGGCGTAACGTTGGGGTCACAGTAATCATTTCGAATAATGCTCGCTCCTCTCGTATTACCGCGGCTGCTGGCACGAAATTAGCCGGAACTTCTTTTTTAAGTACTGTCTTTTTTCTTCCTTAATGAAAGAGCTTTACAACCTATTAGCCTTCTTCCAATCACATTACTCGAAACTACTGGCACACAAAGTACTGTCCACTTGTGCGTTGGAACGATGGAGCTCGTGAGCGACGATCGTGCGAAGCGAGGCACGTCGCGCACCGAGTGCCTTGCCATGCTCGAGTTCTTGCGCATTCCGGACAACTATGCGTTGATGACTGGCAAGGCCTCCAAAGGAAAGTTGATGAAAGGCGGGCTGAGGCTCACAAAGGCCCACGGCCACGCCCTAATGGCCGATTATGTGAACATGGTCGTTCATGATAGCACGCAAACGTGGACTACGCAGGACGCAAAGTCCCTGTAATTGAATACATGAACGTCCTCATCAACACACATTCATCTAGATACGATGCTTACGTCTCGTCATATAAAAAAGCGCTTTGTTGGTGCGGTCCGAACAACAGCGGGCGAGGTCTCACTCAAAAGGACTACAAACGAAGTAAAACAAAAATTGAAGATGAATCTCACGAATTCAGTAGAAATCTTCACGATTGAAAGCAAGTTGAAGAGTATTTGTCCGTACTACAACGACATGAATGCGCTTTTTGGCGGACGCCAGAACTATCGACCATCCTTTGTGTTTGAAACGAACAATGACATCGGTAAATCTTGTGAATGCTTTGCCATTAATACTCATAGCTAAAACACGATTTCATGTAGTACGATAACAAGACAAATGGCAATGCCGGGGTTGTTGAGGACAGCGAACCAACAATAGAGCACGACCCCGACGACCACGACAACGGCGAGTACTGGGCAGACAACGACGCCCATGACCCTGGCCGCCTTGCAGCAAAAACGACGAGCCCGATGGCTGACATCAACGTGCACGGACCCGACGGCTCTAACGATGCGCCTGGCAAAGGGCCTGGGCCCACCAGCGACCATGCCCGCCCGCCAATAAATACAGAATGTTCCTCAACCAAATGCAAGATGTAGGCAAACGTAGTCTGGCAAACACGAACTTCTTGTACAAAGTCTCCTACAGCCATGAAAGGAAGAATCGAAAGCTGCCCGAGTGGGCGCAACAGCGTTGCACGTGGATACATGTAACGAGCACTGAGAAGCATACATCGAAGTTGAAGAAGCTGTCGTATATCGTCCTTTGTAGAAACTGATAAACGGGGATTGCATGCAACAATTGCTCGCACGATGGCGTCCAAGTCTGCCAAGATGGCCGATCTCTCAGAGCGCCGTGGCATCTTGCACAATGCAATCTAACATACGGATAAACTGAAATCGGTTGGTCTTGTTGACTCCCCTACGATTTTCGTTTCATAGTGGCCACCTTTGGTTTCGATTTTTGGAATCCTTGAAAATCAAAAGCAGACCAAAAATTCCCAATTTGACTCTCCCTAATTATTTCGAAGTTTTCACTGAAAAACACCAAAAAGAGTCCTGGATGCTCTCGACCACTGTAAATAGGTCCTCTTTATTCACGCATGACGACGGATGTTGTTGTGGACATTGGATCCTGTTCAGTGAAATTTCCACCAGCTCGATTCCGGCTGCACGATTCCTTTTTCTATGTCCAACTTACGGCAGGGCTTTTCTACACATTTGCCTCGACGTGCACGTGTCGCTGAGACAAAGGATGACGGTCCCCGGTGTGGAGTGAAGTCGTGGAGGTGTCTATTTTGGCCTGCTCAGTGGGCTGTAGAGGGCGCCACTTGCTCTTTCCTCGAGGAGTGGAAAATTCGTTGGACTATCGTAATATCTCCAGAGTCGCGACGTGACAAAAAATTAAATACTGAATGGGTCACGGACGCAACAAGTGCACAAGATTGTGGATAGTGTTGTCAATTCGCTTGTAGGGATCGCCGAGGCAGGCTTGGATTTTTCCCGCGAAGTCCGCCGCCGCTTCCGTGGGAGTGAATTCTGCGCCATGCATTCCGTAAGTTTCATCACAATCCAAGATAGATGTGCTCGCACACATACCCACGACGAGGGCCTCAACGACGTGATAAATATCGTGCATGTCTTGGAGCTCCAGCATGTTGGCGGGCAGCATGAGGACAAGCCATGTCGTGATCAAATGCACATGCTGGCGGAGCTCGTTCAATGCACGCCCGCAGAGCGAGACAAACGATAAATAGAACGGCGAGTCCGTCCCACCCAGCGCAAACGCCATTTCTTTCGTAAAGACAAACGGGGTTTGGTCGCGCTTGAAGTTCATCTATGCAGCCATGCCGTCCCATCAGTCCAACCGACGTCACAAGGCAAGCAGCGCATACATGATACTTGCAGTGCCCGAGAAAGTGGCCAAAGTCAATGTGAAAGTACTGGCCTCTCCGCGTCATCTACACACAACCTCGTCAATTCAAACGCCTCGACAATGGTTCGAGGCTCGACATACCATAATGTTGTCGTTGTGGCGATCGCCAATGCCGAGGACGTGAGTTGCAACGCAGTACCCGGCAGCGGACCGGCGAAACAAGTCAAGAGCTTGCATGTGCTGCTTGGGCGACGTATTGTGCGACTCGATCCATTTGGCAAAGCGCATATCTTGCATGGGTCCCAGGAACCCGCCTTCCTTGTGGATGGCGGCGGTCGTGACGGCATCGCCGACAACTTCGACCATGCCGCTGGTCGGCGACGTTGCGATGCACCCGTACAACTGGAGTTGGGTCGGGATGTTGGCGTCATCCCAGAGTTGTTGCATCAAGCCAAACAACTGGAGCGTCACCATGTCCTGGCGCACGTCGTCGCCGGCTTTAAAAATCACGCTGACCTTGGTACGGGCTGCAGTCTCCAGGGTGAGCCATAGCGGCCGTTTGGTCGATTTCAAAACCCGGCACTCCGACGTGGAAAACTCGACCAAAGTGCAATTCGAGAGCAATGGCAGCGAAACACGTCCGGCATACGACACGTTTAACGCACACAACCGCGATCGCAACAGGGAATCCAACGACGATACGCCCGACGACGTCGATGTCACGACTGCCGTTTGCATGTCCCGCGCAAGCCGATGCAGCTCGCGGCACAGCTCCAATTGGTTGACCAGCATTCGGCGCATCGACCGACCCGCCGCCTACACAGATCCAGTTGACTTTCCATCGGCTATGACAAACGCTACGGACCATCAAATAGGCCTGTTCCAGCAACTGGAATCGTTGCGTGTATTGAGGCACAAACGTTTCAACGTGCAGCGCCCAGAAGAGCGGCGCACCCAGCACCACCGCGGCGTCTATTGCCCGGCGGAACACCCACGTCACCAACCGACTGGCTGCGTACGGTTCCCACTTCATGCATTGCACTACAAGCCCACTGTGTCAACAACTTGCCTTCCCAAACCTTTCATCCTACCGAGCTGAGGCAACACCGTTGCGAGCGCGGCGTTGTCGAGGGCTACGTCGAGCTTTTCAATGGCAAATTCTCGTACCATGGACAAATGGGCTAGCGGTCGACCAAGCAGAATAATGTACTCGGTCGGGTGCGCCGGTGGCATCGTCGACTCAAGCAACATCGCGAGGTCGTCGTGGTAGGCAGGGAGGATCCATTCACGGCACGTGAGCAAGCGCGGCAGGACAGAAAAGGTCTTGGGCATTGTCTGGCGATGCTGCCACAGCAGCGATCTCTGGTACGAGCTCAAGGTAAACAATGGGTCCTGTGCCATGCGTTCCAGCAGCCATGGAAGGGATGACACGGTCGAAATTGTCGCACTGTCGTCGTACGCAGTGGCGTCGTCGCTAAGGCTCGTCCCCCGAAAGCTCCAGTGCATGTCGATGCTCTTGCGCGATGTCACGGAAGACGTTGCCACGCGAAGTGTATGCAGCCAGTCGTTGCGTGCATGGCGCGTTGCGACCCCTAAGACAAGGGTCGTGGTCGCGTCCACGTCGATGGTGAACGCGTACGTCGTGTACACTTTGCGCGTCGAGTTGGATCCAGCACGACTCGACCGACGGCTCGAAGAGTTAAGCTTGTCCGCGACGTCAAAGCTCGATGCACTCGTGAGAGAATAAGTTGTGGCATTGGATGCTGAAGAGCCAGCAACTTGGTTGCCATCGTGACGCGGCGGGTAGAGAACGATATGGCCGTGGTTTGTCACCACACACCACTTGGAATTCCATTGTGCCCACAGTGCGCCAAGCTTTCCATGACTTGAGCCACCACTGCTTCGCAAGAGGTAGACAAATCCTTGCTTCATGATGGCGGGATCGCTCATGGCTGTAGAGAGCACTCGGCTCGGCTGGCGGGCAAACTCCACGTCTTTCCATGCACATTCCATCTACTCACGTGTGAGCACATCCAAGGCAGAAACAAATTGCAAACGCACATGCAGGGACGGAGCTCCGTAGGCTACTCCGAGCGGCAGAGGCCCATGCTGCAAATCGAAAGTCGAGTTGAGCAGTTGCAGGTGGCACTGGCCATCGACGAGCTCGCCGTCCACGTGACGGAGCTGCATCCCTGTGGTTGCCACTTTTTTCCATGTGCTGGCATCATCTCCTATCAAATAACCTTGAGTTCTTGGAAATTCGCAGGTGAATACCTGGCCCATCATCTTCGGGTTGCACTGTCACGGCATATGCAGTGCAGACAAGCCGCCACGACGACGACAACGAAGCAGTATCGACGTTCCACAGCGTGTACCACACGTTTTCGAGGTGACGACTGTTGTCGGGCATGAGCGAGAACGGCGCCGTGTCGACGGTGCAATGCACATGCGACCCTTCGGTAACTTCCAAACGAAGCACAAGTGCAGCGTTGTCCGGGCGATTTGCGAGGTGTCGCTGGCCATTCTTGACGTCGACAAGTTGCTGAAACACATTGCAGATCTTGTGCAGGCGAACGTTCAACGCATTTCTTGTCGACGTTGTCGAAGTCAACATGTGAGGGTCGGGATATGGCACTGCCGTGAGCAGCAATGGCGTTCCTGGCGTAGCAAAGTCTTCCAAAGATGCAGACGGGTCGGTCCAGTACTGGCTCGTGCCATTCACGTTGATGCAATACTTGTCGTCTTCCAGTCCCATATGTCTCATGCACTCGGCTACACTCCAATCTGTTCGCAGCGTCGTCTCCAGAGTCGGGGCGTCTTTGTGACTCTATCAGCGCTGGCATGACCGACGATTGAAGCTGCAACATCGTACCTTGATCTGCAACGTGCCTTCATATCCGAGGGGCCGGGCATGCCGCAGCAGCGCTCTCCACCTGAAGAACTCCCGCTCGTCTGCGAGAGCAAGGAATATATAGATGCTTGCGCTCACGATGAGCAGGCTGTGGGGTTCGAGACATGACGGTTCAATGGCAGAGACGTCGTCGATGTGAAGAAGGTGTGTCATCGCTGCGGGGTGCTTGCCGAGGAAGAGGACGTGTCCGCGGATCTCGAGGAACTGGCGCTTGACTTTGAATTTATGGTTGCGTTGGTTGTGCATGTCGACAAGGACAAGGGACCTGTATGTGATGGGTTGATTCGACTGGGTCGACGTGTCGACGTGTGCACATCCAACGGTAGTGGGGACATCGCTTGGGCATATAGTGGACGTGGTGCAGTTCAACTGGTTGTTCGTCCCTCGCACCGCACGATGCAGCGCCGTCACTTCCGGCACCACCATGCCGTAGTTCCACATCATACTCTACCGCGGGCCGAAATCGAAAATGCCGAAAACGCGCGGTGAAGTACTACTAGATACATAATAAATTAGCCGTATCACCACGCAGTATACAAACGCCAAGTATAAAGTCTGCGCCAGTCGCAAATTCCACCTTACTTGACAGAACATGACGTCGTTGCGGCGGGAATCGCTGGAACACTGGGTGTGCTCTGCGGCCAGTCGCGCCCTTCCCGAGTCTCGTTCGCGTTCTCCATCGCAGACACGGCGCCACCGGCGAATGCGAGCCAGACACGAGCGTTTCTTTATTTCCTGGCGTGCAAGGTAACACACCCACTTGCCTCGTCGTGACGGGGGTCGGTCGTGTCACACGGCCTGATCGTTTTTCGAACCGACCGCAGCAACGTACATAGCTCCAATCCCTCCGTATACATCGCTTCCGTCGCGCATCTCCGAACCATGGCGCGCGGTGGCGGAGGTACGGCAGCACGCGCGGACTACTGGGTGCCGTCGATCGTGGTTGTGTGCTGATAGGAACGACGCGGTGTGCCTCGACCTCATCTGACATTGTAAGAATTCGCCCAACATGATTAAACGCATACGTTAAAAGCCGATTTTTACCTACCGTTCCACTGCCCCCTGTCCATCAAATGGACACGTGAACAGCATAAAGATAACGCGTCGTTGCCGTGCGTTGAGCGTATCGCACGTGTCCGTAAAGGTCATCGCGACCGAAGATGTCTCGGTGACGATTTCTCTTGCTCCTGTGGATCGGGACGTCCCCGCTACATCGCGTTCGTGTTTAACGCGTTTTTTCGCCATATGCCGTCGTCGCGACGTTTGGACATGTGTTGACGCAATAGGGCGCCGTTTAATAATACCACAGTGGATATATTATGGTATCATATGTCCGACGGCGATGTATCTCACCTTGCGCGCTCACCTGTTGTTTGTGGAGTCGACGGCCGATAGCCCAGCGTGTGCCTTTCAATGCATTCGTGGCATGCTCCGACCGCGTCACGAGATTCGGTTGCGGTGCCAGAACGAACGACCTGCTCGATCGCAGTGCTGCTCGTTGTAGCGCCGACAAACTGCTATACGGTACACCATGTATCTTAAAGTGCTTGCCTGAGCGGACGCGCCGAGGGCGGGCTCAGCTACTATCTATCAGGTCCGATAGACCCCATTCCAGCGTCCCCAACGCCGAATGCCTCGCACAGAACCTTGGTTTTCATGGGGGCTACATATGCTTCACAGAGTTCCCGCGATCCTCTCCCTATCCATCGCGTTGTCGCGTCGTCCTGCAGCAATTCCGCGAACGCTTCTGGACGCAGACGCTGTGCCGACAGACACAGCGCGACAGTGGCCTGACAACGGCCCAGCGCCCCAGCCACCTCGGTCCGTGAATGGATCCGCATCCAGCCAATCAGACGCTGGTATTTCGCCGAACCGACGACACGTCTGACGTGGCAGGATGTGGGAACA